CTTATTAAACCTCATACAGTTGACCTCAGCTGTATGTCTAACATTTTAACATTTGGCCTATATGCAATATCTCAAAGTCCTAGTTATCTGACACTGACGAAGCGTGTCTACACTGATGCGGACTAGACATATCAGACTAAGTTCTACTTTTTTCTACCTATTTATAAAAAATGTGTAGTAATCCAATTCTTTTCATAAGGTATTGTAAAATAGCAGCCTCCACTCTTCCAGTGTACCTGACGAACCTAGAAACCCCAGACCTAGGAAGTCTTTTACTTCCCAAGTCTTGCTGCCTTCAGTTACAACCACAACTTAGTAGGGCATTGGAAGAGATATTCCCACAATACCATAGGCAGCTTTCTCTATGCTGCAGCAACATGAATCACTTAATTCTTTATAATAAATTTTAGAAGGACTCCAATATCAATCAGTACTGAGTAACAACAAACGCTGACACAGTTCAGTATGCAGCTTTCCTAGAAACTGGTGATCCCCATATAGTCTACAGCAAGTGCCTCAAGACAGGCAAACTAGACTGGATTTAAAGTGCAACTAAACGCATCAGAAGTACGTACCAACTGATAGTAAGTTAAGGATAACACAAGCATAAACTGAGTTGGCAGTGAAGGGACACTTGCCTGTCCTGGTTTCAGCCAGGGTAGAGTTAATTTTCTTCATAGAAGCTAGCGTGAGGCTATGTTTTGGATTTGGGATGAGAAAACGTTGATAAGGTGCTGATGTTTTGAGTTGTTGCTAAGTAGTCAAGGACAGTCCAGCTTCTCATGCTGGCCTGCAGCGAGCAAGCTGGGGGTGCATGGGAAGCTGGGAGGGGACACAGCTGGGACAGCTGACCCAGACTGGCCAAAGAGATATTTCCTACCATATAATGTCATGCTCAGTATATAAAGCTGGGACAAAGAAGAAGGAAGGCGTGGAGAGACGTTCGGAGTTATGGCGTCTGTCTTCCCAAGAAACCATTACAAGTGATGGAGCCCTGCTTCCCTGGAGATGGCTATGGGGAGCGGGGAATGGATTCCTTGTGTTGCTTTGCTTGTGTGCGCGGCTTTGTCTTTACCTGTTGAACTGTCTTTATCTCAACCCACGAGTTCTCTCACTTTTGCTCTTCCGATTCTCTCCCCCGTCCCACCGTGGGGGGGTGAGCGAGCAGTTGCGTGGTGCTTAGTTGCTGGCTGGGGCTAAACCACGACATTGCCAGTCACTGTTTTTGGAAAACAAATTGCCATAGGACAGGAAGAAATTTTTCACAAGGGTGGTGAAACACTGGCACACATTGCCCATAGAGATTGTAAATGCCCCATCCCTGGCAACATTCAAGGTCAAGTTGGATGGGGCTCTGAGCAACCTGCTGTAGCTGAAGATGTCACTGTTCATTGCAGGGGATTTGGACTCGATGACCTTAAAATGTCCCTTCCAACCCAAACTACCCCATGATTCTCTGATTATATTCCTTAACTAAGAGTACTGATCGCACCCTTCCCAGAAAGATGAGCCTTGCATTTACTTTTTTTTCATATAGCAGTTTCCTAACATGAAGAAACCTTGCATTTAACTACCAGAGAGAAGAATTCATGATCTACTCAGAGCGCTTAACCTGCTTATTTTTGTTGAATCTTTAGGTCTTTTCACAGAAAGTATCATTCCTTAGAATTCTATTTCTCCTTCTATGCAGAGGTATGGTGGTGTCATAATTTTTTTCAATCATTTTTCCATTAGTTATTTTCATTACTGAAGTTACTTGTTGAGGGCTGTAATACCCCAACACAGTTACAGTACTTAGGGACCAATCTGCACTCTCAGTTTCAGTTTATGAGCATAAGTGTTTTACATTTATGTTCTACTGAACATAAACTGTGTTTACACTTATACCTAGAACTATCAACAGAAGCTTTTTTCACATATCCGATCAAATAATGGTAAATACTTTTTCAGTTGTATGGATTTACTTACCCACAGTAGAACAGCACAACACAAACATAAGCTAAGACTCCTTGTACTTTTATTGAGCTTGTTACGACTCTGATGAGCTGTTTTAAGGATAAAAGTTTAACAGTTAAATCATGTAACACACAATTATTAATAGAATGTTTTAACAGGTATTTCTTATTTGGTAAATTCAAGACAAAAGTAGAAACATTTACATAAATAGTAATTTATTCTAATGTTCCCCTTGGTAGTGCTAACTATTCAAGATTTTGGTTTGAGCAAGTATTACACTAGTGTCTAGTTGCAACTTTGCCAAAACCACAGTCTGATAATGTTTCCTTCACCACTGACTTCTGAGTAAAATAACAAGTGAAAAAAACCTCCTCAAAAGTCAAGGTCTGGAAGCTGAGTTAACAATCTTTGAGGAAAATGTCAAGAGATGCTGATGCAGTAAAACAGAATCAGTGTTTCGCACTATGCTAACATTCTGAATACAAAATTGTGTTGTGGACGAGGCATATGAATCCCAAGTTTCAGTAACAAGTGATCCTGAAATCTCAGTTTACTACACTATTTCACAGTTAGGCTTCCAAGTTAGCAAAGCACTTCAGTTTGTTTTAAACCTATCACTATCCAGGCTATCATATCAGAACACAATTAACTTGAAAAAAGCACGTCAATCAAATCCTCACTGATACTTAGTTGTAAAAGAAATCATGATTATGGTCATAGTTGTTTTGGGCGTTTTTTTGGTGGTGTTGTTGGTTTGTGTTTTTTTGTTTTGGGTTTTTTTTATGTTTTTTTGTTTTGGGTTTTTTTTATGTTTTTTTGTTTTTAAATCCTGGATAAAAACCAGGCAAAGCCTGTCAATAATAATTTTCCCCATCTCTATGGGGGAACATTACATGTAAAAGTTAATTCATACCGGTATTCTTCCAGGAAAATTATGAATTATTTTTGCTGGCAAAGCAAGGACTCATTCCCAGCATTATGATAACTGCTGCTTGTCTACATGTGTGTATTCACGTATATACATTCTGCAGTAAATTCAGAACAGACAGCATGTGGACACAATTCCAGTAACAAAGTGATTCATTTTATACCACCATGTCCATGTAACAGGGTCAACTATTTCAGAATCATGTATTGTACAACAGCTCAGAAACTCAGTGTCCCATATAAAAGAAAACTTAGTCATTAAGCATATCATTACAGGGACAACCACAAGGACTCCTATGAAAGCCTAAAAAAAACCCTAGTACAATACTGCAAGCATTCTGGCAACCAGCTGCTTTGACTATGCCGAATGAATGAACAGGAGAATTGCCAAAAAAAATAAATGTTTAATAAGCACAGATGTAGTTTAATTCCACTGCTACAATTCAAGTGTTTATAAATTCTATAAAATTAATATATATTCAATTTCCTATGAAAGGCTGATAAACAGTAACACATTCATGAAGCCATAATTAATGTGTGATATAGGTTATACTGAATGCTAACGCAACCTTGCAGCATCGTTTCAGTTACTTAGTTATCATTTCATTCTCAAAACATCAAAATGAGCTAGATATCTTACAGGCACATGTTCTCAAAGTGAGATCTTATGACAGAAAACTGATAGGACAGACACAACTTACTAAAACAGCCAGTGGAAGAGGAATGAAACCCATTCTTCTGGAAACCGAATCACTATAATCTGTATATGCCTAGAAAAAAAAAAGAGGAAGAATAATGAAGTATTTATGCAGAGGAATGAGCTTATTTTAGCTTGGCACACCCTCTAGATAAGAATCAATCTCTGCTAACAAACACCATGCTGGTATAAAGTATACCTATTCACATTTTGAAATTCAAATGCAGATAACTGTACTCTCAGACAAAAATGTAATACAAGCATGACCAGTAAGATTAGCTTCAGTGCTCTAAATCAAGAGCAACTGGAGTATAGTACAAATCTCTAAATTGAGAGCAATTAGGACACTGAATCCAAACATGCTATGGTATTTCATCTGTACTTTATTACTAGCTTAGAGACCTTTTTGTATTAATTTGACTTTTATCCTCAAATACTGTACAGAAAAACCCATAACAGGGATAAAAGAACAATTATCCACCACACTAGCAATTTTAAATCATTCTACAAACATCTATAATTAGCCTCAGGGTAATTGTGTTAAAATCATTTTGAAAATAGGTTTACATTTGAGCTCTCAAACCACAACTACTTTGCATGACAGCTCTCATGCAGTATTGAATGTCATGCCAAAGTTAGGTAGCATCTTATAGGTACTCATTTTCCACAGAGGATCCTCATGAAAAGTAATGGCATTTTCAGAATTAATAAACTTTTTTTTAATTAATTATTTTTAATTGAAGGTGACAAACTTCTTTATGAGGTATAACTACTGCATTCCTAGAAATGGCTATTAAACATGCCCAAGAAAACTACATAAATTATTATAATAAAGTTAATTTAATAGTTAAATCACTCATCCAGAGCACTCACTAATAGTTAAGAGGCTCATCCAGGTGTGCTGTAATCAGTCTTTCAAAGAACAGTACTAATGAAAAACACAAGCAGTCTGCATGTTCTGTAAAATACCCATGCCACAGCAGTAACATGCGTGGTACAAACACCCCTATACATCTGAGCACAGTGTCTGTGAAGAAATAATATAAACTCCTAATGAACACTGTATTTTGATCCAACACAGTTAAAATAAAGCAAAAAGAACAGTAATTTAAAATTATCTCAAGAAATCTTGTCAAGCTTACTTACTTCCCATATATCTCAAAAATGTCAAAGTTGTTACACCCATCCCCTGACTGTAAGTGTCTTTGGAAGACAAACTTCTCAACAATATATTAAATAAAGCCTGAACTGACCTAAACAACTCGATAAAAGTAAGAATATAAATCATAAGGAGATATTCCTGTTATCTCTTATTAGAAAAAGCAGAGTAGAATTTCAGTGCTGTAGGAGTGTAAGAGTTCTAGATGTATTTCTTTAAGTATTTGTTCCAATATTGTCCCCCCTCCTCGCCCCCCCCCAGTTATGAGAAAATGCCTTTATTTTCAGGCTTACATTTTTCTGTCGACTGCTAACAAGGTCAAATGCAAGACTGGCTCTGTATTCACTGTAGACCTGGAAAAAATCCATTACATCTGATGTGTGATTAATTTGTTATCACACTTTATGGAAGCAACAGAGATATTAATAAAATATTTCTGTAAAAATATTATAAAAAAAAACTTATGCACAGGCTGAAAGAATCAAAGACAGTTTTTCTGTTTAATTGCACCCTTAACAGATGAGTCTGTATTTCTGCGATAAAGTAACTTGCATACATATCCAACAAACAACACTATGCTATGTTTTAGGAACTGAATGAGGCTTTATAAAGCATTTACTGAATTTTAGGATTATCAGAAACACAAAGAGAAGTCATGTTTACTTTTTTCCTATAGTTCATAACTCGTTTTAAGCTATGTGAAAGGTAGCACTGGGATCAAATTAAACAACTGAGAGCTTATTTAAATACTGAGAAAGTGATCCCATGAAAAAAGGAAATTGTATCGGAAGATGAATGAAGATTTTCCTTCTCTTTAAAACAGTTCTGCATATTAAGACAGAAAAGCATCTATTTTAAGAAAAGTGGTAGGGCAACTTGCATGGCAGGTGTTCAAAACTTCTGAAAAAGTCTGACCTAGCAACTGTAAATCTTTAGAACTTCATACAAAAAGTACGAAGTTTGTTAAATAAGCTTTGCAAAATTGTCACTCACTACCCCCATCCTCCAGCTGTTTCAGCACACTGAAGCATGCTACATTTTTGGCTATCATGACTTCATCATTCCTCTTTTCCACACTCTCTGTATGAAAGTAGGGCATGCATAAAAACCTCTGTCATAAGGGAACTTATTAAGTACATCCATTAAACTTGTTTCTACACCGCACAATGTAGTTACTTTAGAGATGCTGAAAAAGATAGCACTTCCAAGTTCTGATCTCATTTCCTGAAAAGTGCTTTTAACAGTGGAAAAACACTAACTCGTTTCTCTTCACAAATTTATCAAGTGCATTTGAATTCAAACAACACGCAAGACAAATGGTCAATGTATCATGCCGCACCACACAAAAAATAACCTCATCTACTACTAGAACCTTCTACTAGTCCTTCTTTTGAAGGACTGCATAATATGTATGACCTCAGAAATTTCAGGGGTGGGAAACTAACATAACCTACTTCACATTAGTACTCCAGGGACAGTGGAAAAATATCTCACTGATTTTAGATTCCACATTTAACAGGCATGCAAGAACAAAGATTCAGCAGCCTCACAATACCTGTATTCCCTAAAGCCTGAATTTTAACGTACAATCCATCATGTTAGAAAAGATACAAGCTCTGTCTAGACTGTAGAACATGCAACCTTCTGCCAGTTTAGCTAGTGATCACTTCACAAAACGATCTGCCAGTTGTGTGAACTGTTATACAATACTTTCAATAATTTATGGATCTAGAACCACTAATTTAGAAACAGAGGTGTTTGTTCCACATTATAAAGATCCTCAGAAGTATATTGTGTATCAGGAAATTACCAAGCTTTCCCAAATGATATCCACTATATGAAAATAACAATTTTTACATTTTCTGCACTGAAATCAATTTTAATTAAAAAAAGGCAAAATAAACGACAACTTAAAATAGCACTCAGCATTCCAAACAGGATACCTACATCTGCTGTGATGTCATTGAATTTTGTTATAAAGGCATGTTTCACAATGTCCACCGCAATTTCTGAAGCAACCACCATGCAAACATCTGGGAATAACACCCAAAGATGATCTGAAGGTTGGGAAGAAAACAAGTTAGGCCATTTAATTTGATGCCAGTATACAAAACAAAGATTATAGCACTTTTACTCAACGGTGAAAAAATCCTCAAGAGTCTGAAGAGTCTGTAACTACATCACCACTCAGCACATAGTGTGCAAGTTCCAGCTTATTACATTGCTGTTTTAGAAACTTATCAGTACTATACAAATCATACCACAATTAGGATCAAGTTCTAAAGTCTTCACTTTGTACAGCTTTATCTCTCCTAGGAAGACAACCTTTGCACATACTAGATAGATGTTCAGTACGTGTGAGGAATAGACAGAGCACCTGTGGTTTAAGATGCTTAAGGTAAAAGGTAGACTGGCAACATTAAAGCAAAATACAGCGCACACATCAGGGCTGAAACTTATTAAAACAAAGTTTTAATAAAATAAAATCCAAATTTTGCTCTATTCAACATGCTATTAAAATCTTAAGTATAATCAATATTGTATGAATGGAAATTTTTACATAATCTATCAAATTTCAATCTCACTAGCCTCCCAAAATAAAATTCCCTAGGGGATCCTTCATCCTTAATGTACTACAAGGAAAGGGAAGGACTAGGAAATCATTCGAGACACTACTTGGAACATAAAAGTACGCACATTTGTAGCATAACAGCATACAGGTCTAGCAGAAAGGATAGAGTCACTCTTACAAGAAAGCCAGAAACAGAAAAACGAGAATCTAAGGTATTTGACAAATTCAGATTCCTCAATTAAATGTTTTGGTTACCCTTACCTTTCAGACTGAGGGAAGAAGCAAGAGATACAGTTGTTGATAGCACAGGAATTTGCCATTTTGTATTAAATTTTTCTGCTAGTTTACTCACCTGGATTCCATGAGAACTGTTCCATATTTCTTAGACATACAATTAGTAGCAGCACATAATTGGTGAACCTCTCCTTTATATCTAGTAAAAAAAAAAAAAAAGCTGTCAACTCCAAAGAAACATTTATTAGCATACATAGATATCTACTCTTTCTGAGGTTCTATCATTTATTAAGTCTTGCATTCGACAACCTTTTCCACAAATTATTTGATCAGATTTGAGGGGAGGGTATGCTGGGAACCTCACCATGGGCAGGTTCTCTGCAGTATGCTGTGCCCTGACTGGATGTCCATCCAGTGCTGCAACAGCTCAGGGCTCCCAGCATCAGCAGGGACTTAAGTTCTGACTTGCTATCACCTTTTCTAACACGTAACAAAATATTAATGTTTCCTGATAAAAGATGTGCATTTCTTGTGGGATTTAAAAAGAAACAGCACCTCCTGGTGCACAAATGGAGACAATGCACATGTCTGTCATTTCAAGTCACTAGCAAGGCAAATTTCATTTTCTACAGATCATGGATATCCAAATTGCTATATACTGGGTCCAGTAGTAAGGAAGCAGGGGAAGCATTTCAAGACAACTATTACACCTTATTTAGAAAGCTCCCACTAGTCTTTCACATTGCCACCTTAAAAGGGAATAGCAGGATATATCAGCTAGTTATCAAAACCATAAGAACTGTAACACAGAAGTGATCCAACTTGAGATGGAGTCCTATGACTTGCCCTCCCAGACTAGGTAGGTCTTTTTTTCTACTTTGGTACCCTACCTCCAGAAACAACCCATACAGCTCACTCCAAGAAACATCACATTTTTTAATATATTGAAAAACCTCCCTGAAATTGTATTATTGAAAAATGGGGTAAAACCTAAAACGTAACGTCACCACAAATTAGCAATTCCAAAGAAGTTTTTTTAGAAGACAGTGTCTTCACAAATTTTCGTAATAGTTCTGTTATCATTTTTTACACCTGTTAATAACCTTGACAGTAATTTCTTTGTGGCCAAGTCATCTCCAAACCTGAAAGGTTGGTTCATTTCCTTAAGCACCTCAAATATTCCATGGGGTTCTATTTACTGATTTTGGTCAAAATTGAGAGAAAATAAGCACAAGAAACAGAAATGTTCAGAACACAGAAGGATCGAGCTGGCCAAAAACATATTTGACTTTGTGTCAGCAGCTTCCATCTTCCCTAGCTGACTACAGACCAACAATGATGTTCATGGCTGCAGTTACTATATTCTACTATAACAATATCCCTCATTTTTAAAAAGATGTTTCAAAATACTGGCAAGCCTGAAGGAAGGGAGCAAAAAGAAAAGAACTCCTCCAGAAGAGGTGAACAAAAAGCACACAGAATTCAAGACAAATGAGACTGCATGCACACAAGTAAAAAGGCACATTTTGGGGTACATAAGCTCATCTCTGTGTGGGCTGGGGAAGGGTCAGAGGAAGCACAGGTTTCCAAAACAGAACCAGCGGCATATGTATAGGGGAAGAAACAAGGAAATTCTTCAGTAAAATAAATTTCAATACAAGAAAAATGGGACATGGTGAAGTCCTAACCCTAATTTATTGGTTTCCTGCCAATAATGCTCCAGCAAGTATGCTCTTCTGAATTCACCAAATACTGCCCAAATTACCAGAACACAATATTTTCTGATATATCTAGTTATGAGATATCACTTGGCACTGTCATCAATGGATTAATATGCAGTCTAGCATTCCTTGTTCAATACTATCACACCCATTAGCGACTTGAAAGTAATCACTGAGTTTTCAGACTTTTGCCTAAAAATCACAGAGGTTTCATCTTTTATTTCCCACACTGCATACTTCCACACTGCCATGACACATCATTGCTCAGCAATGCTTAAGACAACACACAGAACCCATCTTCAGTGCTTCAGATCCTAAAGAGGCCTGTACAGATAGAAATTCTCAAGTGGGAAGGATGGACCTTAATTCAGGCCTAAACATTACAGAATGTCCCAAGCCAATCGTTCAGATATTTATTACCTGCTCAGTATATGTTAGCTCACCAGTCAACAGATTAAATTGAGAAGGAACATCTTTGGCCTCAGATTTCCTCTCATGCTGTAATAATAAACATTTTCCCCCCACTAATTTCTGAGACTGGATGACAGGCTGAGACCTATTTTTCCCCTCTGCTTATTTTTCCTGTTCTCACTGGCTTCCCCTCTCATCTGTTATCTCTGCTGCCACAGCTGTTCAAGGCTGCTCAGAGTGAGGGGAATGAGTGCGGCTGCTCTTCTTCATCCTCACTGCTCTCATCAACCGACTGTCAGAGACACAAGCAAGGGAGAAAGGGCATTTTACAGCCCAAATGATTCAGAAGTTTGTTTCATTTCTCACCCTCATTGACAAGGACAAAAAAGGCTTCAGGATATCCAAAACAAATCAATCCTAAATCCCAATTAAAATTTCAGAATACAAAATATGCACCAATAATATTTCATCATTTATTATGAACTTATTTGGTGTTGTATACATACATGTATTTTCTTCTAAACAGGTGAGGGGAATTTACTATACCATGTTTTGCCACTTGTTAGATGATGCGGTGAACAACTGAGCCTACATCCCTAGACCCACAGTCATGGGCATCATATTCTTAAAGAAGAACAAAGGGAGAGTACATGACTGTATGTGTGAACCTGGGGAAAGTGACAAGGCACCAGTGTTACTGTTCAGTTATAGAGAGCGTGGGTACTGGCAAAAGCAAGTTTCTCTATTCTGCTTTGGCATGACAAAGAGTAGAGTGGGAATAAAAAGGGATCTCTTCTTCATTCTCCATCATTACAGTCCTTAATAACGTTGATATATAAGCCATTTCAACTCAGTTTTGAACATATCCCACAAAGTGTTGCTGATAAGCATATCATAAACTAGCTTTCAGTTAGAATACAGTATAGCTTTAGTAACCCCTTTCCATTGTAAGACAGGGTTAAATGACAGCCAAAACAACAGGCTGAGGACATTTTAAATGGCCTTCACAAGCACAGGATTAAGTAGTTTACTTTCTCATTATCTATGCTCCCAAGCATTGAAGAACTGACATCTACTACTAATTCAAATCTACTTATCCACCTGACCGTCTCTTGTCAGCACACACCATGCATAGACTGCATTCCAATACAGTGCTTAAAACTCTGCTCTTAACAGGGCTGGCCCTGAAGCCTCGTCACACATCATATTATATACTCTCCATATACACACTCTTTAGACTATTTTGAAAGATGACACTGAATTTGCCTGTGCTTCCGTGCATCCGCTGGCGGTGTAAACAACTACATATGATTAAATCATTTAGGTTTCCTTTAAAATATGTATTTCACTATATTGAAAAGGGAAAGGAAGAATCAGACATTCCAAGATTCCACATCAGAATTTAGTGGTCATGTGTCAAAATCTAACCACAATATACAATCTTCTTCCATGAAGATAAGTCACGTGTGCTTATTAGAGTTGTCATATGAAGAGAGGCTGTAAGCGTTTATTTCAAAGCCAGTAATGCACATAGTGCCATAAATGCAACAGGGGAAAAAAGAAAGATGTACTTTTTGCTATTGGTTCTGTCAAGTAAAGCCAAAAATGAGATTGCACATAGCCATATCAGATTTTAAATACTTTCACCCCACTTACATTGACCCTACCATTCCAATTTGAATGGAATTCTATGCCCATATTAGCATTCCATTCTGCCCTTCTACAAATCCTTCTGGAAAATGGAGACACTCAATTTAAAGGACTGATAGCAACAGAGACCCAAAATTTAGCTGTCAATGTGTCAGAGAGTATCATCACTCTAAAAACACATACAAAAGACTAGAGAAATGCATGTGATAGGAAATAAAGGATGTTCCTAAGACAGCATTGCATCTAGTGTGGACTACTGTAATTAATTAGCCAACATCCCGAACAATTGATTAGTGAACTTACTCAGGAAGGACCTGAACTCTGATAAACTTAGGTACTTTGCAGCAGTAACTAACAAGAAGGGCAGTGAGATCCCAGGACCAGAGATCCAGAAGTGGCACTTCTACTCGCCTGGGTAGAATAAAACAGTCTTTAGAAGACCTAGTTATTTCCTTCCACACATCATGCAGGAATCCTTAACCAGGAAGGAAAACCTAATTTTGATCATGTTAATCCCACTGTTTAGGTGTTTAGATCAAAAAGATGGTTCTAAATCATAGCATGTAAGACATGAAACAAGGTCTTTTGGTTTAAATCTCAGCAAATCCTAAGTAGCTCTAGTGACAACTACCTCTTAACAAGCGACCAGAGCACAAGAAAGGATCAAAGACTGAATAAGGAATCATCAAGGAGGCACCGATCTATCTTAAATGTACTCCTGCCCCCAAATCCCTCATCCTTAAAATGAACAACTGCATTACAATAATGGTATTAAAAAAACTAGACACACATGAGACAGCACTTTGAATTCCAGAGACCAAAGGTAAAAAAAAAGTCTGTTCATTATTTTGATCAAAGCCAATGAGACTGATAAATCAGAGACAAAGCAGAAATAACAGAATAATGGGGGGGAAAAAAAAAGGTAAGAAATTAAAAAGAAAAAAAACCTGAAGTTCCTAAAGCTTCAGAATAAATATTTTAAATTTTTGAGATGAGTGATTTTAAAAGAACAAGGAATAATCTGGCCAAACAGCTAACTGTTTACTAAGCAAGTAACATAGTGCACTGCACCTAATGTACTGCTTCATATGAGGTACAATTGTGTTTTGTGAAAAATTTAGTTTAGAGAGCAGCTTGGAGTTAAAATAAGACATTTAAAACCATAAAGAAAGGCAGCATGTTGGGCTTTTAATGATGAAAGAACTTACCTTTATAATTTTGGTCTCCTCATTCATTAATCCTGAACCCTACAAAATTAGCTCATGGATATCTATTTCAAAAGGAGAATATATTATTGAAATTCAGGGAAATATTTCTTCCTGCTACAATAAAAATAAGGTTTTGTGTCTTCTGTATCAAAGTCTTTTCCAACAGCCACAGTGTTTAGATTGCGTGGGTGTACATTAGCTTCCTAGTCAACATCAGGGTGGTAACGCAAAAGCAGTTTTGCTGCAGCTGGTATCAAAGCTGCAGGAGCTGATATGGTTGAAATCACAGATTCTACAGCTGCAATCTCAAGCACCTATACGAACCCCAAGATCTTTGTTGACCTCCTGCACCTAAAAGATAACAGGTGTGATTTTATTGGATAACTGTGTAAACAATGTATATCTCATGGTCCATTCAATTAGTTTTTACGTAGGTGATTCACGGGTCTTTTAGTCCTGAAGTTTTAATTAATTAGCTGTTACAGCAAAATTTTAAATGGCCACACAAAGGTGAGAAGGATTACAGACTCCACTGACACTAAGTACAGAACTGGAAATACTGAGAAAAATAATACAGCCACACACGAGCTTGCTATTCACAAGCCAGTGCTGAGCACAATGCCAAGTGAAAATTATTTCACAATTTCCAGATTTAAACTGGCAGCTTAATGGCACTTCATACCCTGGTGTCCTACTAGATAGCATCTTCAATACCATGCAAAGCTCTGCAAAGTATTTCAATGTATGATATAGGACATAGAAAGTACACCTGAAGCAGTTCATTTCCTTTTTCATGCTTCTATTCACAAGATTACTTGCTTTTGATTTGTATTTGTAGCAACTTCTCTTGATGACAATGTCTACCCTTGAGGTCACTGCTATCTTACTTTTCTGCTAGTTCATATTTTTCTTTTGATTAACGTGTTAAATAAGACGGGAGTGACAAGTTTCTCATATGCCTTTATGAGATTGACCTTATCCCCCCCCCCCATTAGTATATTTAGCTTGTGTACTAATCAGTACCTTTCCACGTGTTTGATACAATGGCAATAGTTTGAACAGAACCCTACAAAAGGTGGGGCAAGGGGGCATCCATTCAGTCTGTCTAAGCTTAATCAGCTACTGTTGCCATTGTTGCCCTACAGCAAAGACTGCAGACCTGGGAAAACAGCTGGAAGAAGCTGAGAGAAAGGTCGGAAATACATGGGTGAACCTATGTTTAGTACTTTATTTTAGCAGTTTATTTCAGTCCAGGCATGCAGTTTAAGCATATCATGTTCTAGGATGCACAAGGCATTCCAAAGGCTAACTGGAAGCTCAGTCCACAGGACCAGACTAGCCTCAGTTCCAGGGGTAGGATATAGCATTGGCATAGCATGCCAACACAAGATGCACTACCATTTCAGCTGCAGGAAATAAAACATTTAAAAGGGTAACAAAGTTATCAGAATACATGACCTGAAGCAACACTGATCCATCCTTACTGAAGCTGTGATGCAGTAAATCTGTTCAAGTTCAAAAGAGATGAAAATCACTCCTAAAAACCTCTCTACGTTATTTATCTATGAGAAGAAAAACACTGCTATTTATACCCATACTGAGAAGCATTCCAGTAAAAGTTACCTGTTTGAAGGGAATAAACCAGCTTGTTTTGTGCACTCTTCTATGTATGTACTCACCTGCTTCCATTCCCATATGGTATAATGAATGGCAACACTTTTTCCACCAAGTGATAAAGGGAGACCTGATATTGCTATTATGGGTCTTCGATAATAATGTCTAGCAATAAAAACACTGATATATATTTCTTTTAGCATACAATTGCAGATGCTTTTTATGGAGGAAATTACTACCCATTTCTAATAGCAGTCCCTCGTTTATTTCAACATTTAAATCAAAGAAGAGGCCCTGTCTTTCAGTAGGAGAGCTAGATGCATACTTTTAACTATTTTCTGCAAGTATCATGATTAATCAGAGAAAACTCTCTATGTTTTCTGTCAATATTTTAGGAAACATCACTTTTAGAGGTTCTCACTGGAAAGTTAAATACTTAACATTTTTTAAATTAAGTGTATTTAGATCTTGGAACAAAAACCCCCATACTATTAGCACAGAATAGCACCTTATCAACACCACTGGGAAGATTATTTTGGAGGGTTTTTAAGAGGTACATTTATGAGGTAGATTAAAATTTAGTGCTAATTTTTCTGTTACATGATATGTTTAAGATTTTATGTAAATAGTCTTTTACCCAAAGCATCACAAAACAATTGACATTTAACATTTGCATGTAATATCATTGCAGTTTGCAGATGAATTATAAAAATATCCCATCAATAGCTAGAGTCCAAAGCCTGAAGCAAGCCTGCTTGAAAGCAACTCTTGATAAAAAAAAAAAGTCTGAATCTTCTGTTTTTAAATAAGGAGCCTATTTAAATTTTTATTTTAACCTATTGAACTTTTCAGTTCTCTGGTTTAAAAAAACTAGGAGTTGGAATGGAAAAATGTATTTTATTTTGTTTGTTCATCTGTATAAATAGCTTTGACCAAATAAGTCATATGCGCAAAATAATGGAAACAAACATATTCAAAGATCAGAAAATACTACAAGCAAACCTGTACAACCTTACAACTCTCCTATTAGTTTTGAAACCAAGAATTCAACAAATATTTCAGATGGCTGATAATCAATATTAGAATGAACCTCCATCAAAGAATACCTGTAACAGCTTTTCCTCATGAGACACACTGAGTAAGAGTTCCCAAATTTCATACTATGCAGCCACACAGTTAAGAAGTGCCAAAAGTGTAACGTGTTTCCTAAGTACCCTCTACTACATCTTGATAGAATGTCAAAAGTTACAGTCATCTCTGGTATTTCCTTCATAAGCCAGCTACTTCATCGTTATATTACTGGAGGGGGGTGGGTGAGGGCTGGTTATTTCAAGATCCATCCTCAAAACTGCCAAACACCACGCATTCTGAGATCACTGTCAACACAGCACACTACGAAGTCAATGCCAACTTTTTGAAAACATAGACGACTGCAGACACTTTGAAGCATGGTTGTTTTGAACACCATAACTTAAACCTGAAATTAATATTTAATAATAACTTTACCATACAGCCAATACGTTTTTTTAGCACCTCAAATAAAAAAACTAGCCATTTAAGGAAAAACGGTATTCCTGGAAGTGGAATCCCAGTTTCATCTTACTGAAGCAAACATTAATAGGGGAGCTGACGAATTCAAGTCAGAACGCTCAAATTCACCAAGGTAAAGCTGTTTTAACAATATTATGAAATAAATTCATCAATTAAAAAAAAAAAATCAGCCTCTCACTTCGCATTTTCTCCTGATCAGAACAGCTATACATACCACTATTTGACATTTGAAAAAGATTGTTCTTCTCAAACTTCTTGAAAACACTTCCTTTTATTTCAACGAACTGCAATTTTTAAAAACAGTTAGTTAGTTTTTATAGATAAAAATTCATATAAAAAAATCAGACAATCAAATAATATGCAAATAGATATACGATACACAAAGGTAAGGATGCTGAAAAAAATTAGGGTAGCTATATAATAAAGATACATACTTACATTATTGGACATCATGATGGTAAGCAGTGATTTATTGTGGGAGTTGAAGGCCACATTAAGGGTTGTTGCTTGAACCATTATAAGAATAGCGTGCAGGACTAGATAGCAGGGTTAAGGAAGCATATTTGTAAGTAATTTTTCTGCACAACAGTACTGAACAGCACCAAACTTCAAATTTCCCGTTTTGTTTCCAAAGTTTAACAAAACTTTTCTATCTCCCTGTCAACTAGTTTTACAGCAAGACAGTACTTAAACCTGTGTAATGTATCCACAGTGCTTCATAGCATGTAATAATTATGTTCATTTTTCTTGTTCTAAAAGAGCACGATGACATTACTCAGGAGGAACAGCAATACAATCTGAAGGAAGAAATTCTGAGATAAAGATTCAGAATTAGCCTAAACATTTCAGAAAACAGAGGAAAGTACAAGAATTCTAAATACATCACCACGTCTATCAGACTACGTATCTCTTTGCAGATCATTTTCATCAGTTCACTGTAAGGTTACTTTACACTCAACTCATATTCATCCTGAATATGCATGACTTTATCCCTTCATTTCAAGAACATGTTTTCAAGCTAGGTGTTTGTAGCATTCCATTAAATTACAAAACCCTACTGTCTTCGAGACCTTGTGACCCAAAACACTCAAGTATGAATAAGAAATCAAAGTTTCTGTGAACTATCCAATTATTTTTTTTTTCATTTTACTACACATGAAGTATTAAAAAAGCTGTCTCCTACTGCAGTGGTATACCATTATGAAGGGTTTTTTTCCTGGTTTTTTTTTTGTTTTGTTTTGTTCTTGGTTTTTTTTTTTAAAGCGGGTTAAAAGGGTTTTTTAATTCATTTTAGAAACCTGTAGTATTGGCACAGTACTACAATACTTTGAAAATAAAAGGAAACTGATGTAGGAATACTATCAATTTCTCAAATATATTGAAATAAAATAATGGAGAGCAATTACTGTGTAATTTATTTTCAAAATTTTTGCAATTAATTGAAGAAGGATACAGACATACAGCACTGCCATGAAGAAGTGAGGAATCACACCTATGTGAGCTCTTTTTCTTTCCTTAGGTTCTGTAGCTGTCCAATAAAGAGCATCCAAAATATCTTGTCCAAATGAAGAAAACAGACGATCAGCCACCTAAATAAGAACAACTTTTTACTGCCTTAAAGCAATATTTTTCTTTCCAACACTTGAATATGCCAACATAAGAACAGCTCAAACTAAAAAAAGTTTCATATATTTATCACTTTCCATCTCTTGTTAATTCTGTTTCCACTCTGGATTTCACAGTGATATTGTTCCTTTTATATACTCAGCAGCCTACCTTCTCTCTCAAATTTACTATCCCCCTTTCAACAGTATTTACAATATATAACCATGTAGTTATCTTAGATGCTTCCTTGGAAGACATACCAGTAGAGTTCAAGCTTCAGCCTTTGATAAAGCAATAAGTATTTCCTATCCCTCTGTGTTTCACAGAGAAAAAAAAAAAAAAAGTGAATTTCAAATGTGCAACAGGGGACCAACATCAGCCTGCAGGTACAAAAAGGACTGAAATAAGACTTGGCTGTAGTATTTCCTTACATCTTGGAATAAAGTATATACTCAATACAAATCTCAGCATAAAGCAAAATTCAAAATTAAAGGTACTATAACCAACAGCAAGTGATTAAGTGGGATCAGAAATTCTGCCAAAAAGGAGAAACAGTTTGAAAAAACTACAAATGTCTGAAGTGTAACTGAAAGAATATACGCACAAGTAAGGAAAAAATTACTAGTAGTAATTCCAAAGATAGGAAAAACATGGACAGCAATCTGTCCTGTTTTTGACCTTGACCTTGTAACTCAATACCACAGCAAGAAAGGTCACATGGAGTTCCACCAGTTCTCAACACTTCATCACCAGCAAGCATGTAAAACTGAAGATCATTATAAGGAAAGACTTTTTTCCTGGCTATACACTACACTTCAGTAATTTTAACACTAAGCTGCATGGGACAACAAAAATAGAACTTCAAAAATTAAATTTGGTATCACAATGCAAATGTCTGACTAAAAAAAGAGGTATCTTTCATTGCTTAGTAACTCAACAAAATGGAAATAGTTAAATATGAAAAACTGATTATCTTTACTTAATAAAGACAACTGATATTTCCTCTTACTGTCTTTCTGTAAGACAGCAATTTTGCACATGTTGAAACAACACGTAGCAATATAGAATTAAGTGCATGGTGTACCTGCAAATATTGAACCATACCTACTAACTAGAAAATAAGTTCTTGGGACAACATAAGTAAACCTAGATTTGGGATAATTTCCAGATTTGTTAAAGAGTTCTAAAGGTAAAGATACCAAAGGGAGAGAAGTCATATATATTAACTTACTCAAGCCAACATTTATTGAAGTTTCCTAAAATATGAAGGCTGAATTAGAACAAATTTTTACTGCATGTCTCAAGTAAACCATACTATAATGTTACTGTTTCAGTATCACCTGTGAAATAAAATGAAAACCATGAGCTGATGCATTATCATAAATCTGAAGTTGAAAAGCCCATCAGTTTGAGAGATATTTACAGTGGTATTGTTTTCGGCTTTTAGATTTTGTAAATTAAGGTGGTCTGCATTATTTGGTTCCTGCTCATTGTAATGACCCATTGAGTAATTACAACTGGTGTAGTAACACCAACTACAGAATGCTTAGAGTTTGGTTTTTGTTCACAATATTGTGAGGGTTTTAATAGATACAATGTTGGCTTTGCTTTCATTTTTATGTAAGCAGGCCTTGTTTCTTAGTTCACAGGGTAGAAAATATTAAAACCCACCACACAATATTGTTGCTTCCTTTTCCAAATAGGACTTACCTAAACCCTACATGCCGGCTCCAGGCTCCAGCAGAATTCCATGGTGAGTGCTGTCACCAGCGTAACGCACACTGGGGCTTCACAAGGAGCAGGAGCCGGTGGGTCTGAATCTAAAAAAGAAAAGTGTCATTTAAGCCAAATGTGCTGAATGCTCCCCTTAGGCTGTCTATCTGGAGCATTCAGCACATAATTTGAAGACTTTGCATTCATCATATCTGTCCAGGACAATATTCCCCGGACTTGGTAACAGCCGAAAACATTAGGACATTGTAAACATCTCTGTTGTTCAGTGATTTAACTAAATTAAGAAGATCTTCCTGTTTTGAAAACTTGTGAAAACGTAAAGTTTATTACTTTAAAAAAAGTGTATCTAACAGTTCCTTAAAAAGCATTGCTTGCATTAGTAGCAAAGACTTAAAATGAAATTCACCAGTCTAAGCAAGCCAATACTCCAACTCTTGAAAGCTGACTATTAACCAGGTCTTTCAGTGGGATCTCATGACATTTTCTGCAAATAGTGTGGCTGCAACCCACCATGGTAAAAGCACCCCTTTAAAAACATACCGTCTGCTTGGCATGTTGGGTTTCACGAGACACCATGGAAATTAAAACCTGTTTCCTACTTCCAAGTCTAATGTAATTTTTCTAATAACTATGAGTGGTAACAGACTTCCCACTTTCCTAAAAAGGAAATGAAACTCTGGCAGTACTTCTTAGTTGAGACACACACTTTTGGTTCTGCCAAACGTAGCAAAGAAACTCAATTCTTCCCTTCATTTAAACTGGAATGGCACATGGCTTCCAATTCACAGCAAATACTGCAGTCTCTCTTCAAATTACATGGTGAGCACATAGTGCTGTACTTTCTCAGCACTGTAAGAAGTGACTTGAAGTGGTCTTGAAATAAAGAGAAATTACTATTTTAAGCACGTGGATTTATTTAGTAAGTGATAACTTCTCACAGATTATGCAACTATGTATGGATGAATATTTCCCAACACAAGTAAAATCCACATAGTAGCTCAGTGCCAATTTAATATTTGGACATGTTTTTCAGCAAATCTAAAATCAAAGGAAACAAAACCCTATGAATCTAAACTGACGTGGTTTGTATGATATTTATTTCACTTAGGATAATAAAGTGTGTTCCTCATGCAGTATTTTCACGTTATGAGGAAAGAACAAATGTCTTTAGACAAAATATTCAGATTTTGCACAAAGTGTAGCTCTGTTCTAGCAGCCTTCAAACAAAGGTACAACAGAGGTTCAAACAAGGATTAATATGTTATTCAGAGATCCCAGAATCCTAGTAGAGTAACTCTTGTGTACAAAGCTCTGACTGAGTCCTTTTAAGAGGTTGTATTCCTAATACGTCCTACATTCGCAGGATGGAGATAAGATTGTAGCTATGAAAAACAGTATTTACTTCATGAATCATTGATAATAGAAGTGCAATTAAAAATCTCATGCTTTACATTAATAACAAAACCGAAGCAATTTTTCCCCAGAATTTCTCTTTATCTTACCTCCCAAACCAGAAATAACTTTTCTTGTTTCACTATATTCATTCAACTTATTATGTACTCCGGCTTTTGCTTGCTAGCCAGGACTGAGATAGGTTAAGCAGTAACATGTGTCCTTGCATATGATGAAAGCTATACTTCTATAACGAAGAATTAAAAACCAAATCCGTGTCTTCTACCATCTTATTCCTCTGCTCTCTCTCAGGATCTTATCGCCTATTTCAAATCAATAGTTTCTACTTTTTTCAATGAGTTCAAAACCTCATTCATTCCACTTCTTGCATTTCAGTTTAAGACATTTCTTCTTCCATTTCCAGTTCTCAATTTTCATTCAACTAAACTGATCAATAAGCTCCAAGTACTAGGCAGTATGAAACTATCTACAAAACTTATTTTTCACAAACTTGTCGGTTTCACTGCATCCAGGCTTATTATCACAGGTGTGTGCACATTTGTGAGAATACAATATGTGCCATATTCTAAGTACAAATGCAGTTATGTAACAATATTTTAGATAGTCTGAAGAAAGCGTGCTTGATATTCTGGTGCCAACATTCTTACCTCAAGCATGTTATAGATGATGTAGAGCTTTATGACAGACTGTCCCCTTATCAGATGATACATCATAGAGTAGTCAACATAGTGCATCATGAAGTAGCAGATGACCAATATAACTCCTTTGAGAATGTCACATACCTGAGCAGGCTGTAGCAAACGTCTATCACTGAAATACAAAGGGCAAAAAGTCCCACTAAATGTCATATACCCACAAAATCCAAATGTTACCAAGTCAGTATGAATTTACAGAAGCTGTTAATCAAGGACATATTTTAATTTAGTTTATTACTTCCCCTGCCCCTTACTCCAACACATAAGGAGCACCAGTACTGTGATAGACACTCATAGATCACACTCCTGAACAGGATCACATTCTCTTATCTGCCACATCAATTTAGTTAAAATACAGTATCTGTTGGGTAAGAGCTCCCACTTGTTAAAAACCTTCTGCATGCATGCCTTTGGGTTTTTAATTTCCCTTTCCTCTTCCAGCCAATTCTACTTATCATTTTGACTTCCCAAGTTACAGAAACTGTGTTTGCTATAACCAAAAGAAAAAAAAAAGCAGCAGTCATCTTCAATTTCAGTATAATGAACCAGATGCTGAGGAACAGGTTCTAAACATAATTCCGTATCTTCTTTTAGCTATCAGGTCTGCAGTATTAAATGCAAACAATTTGACATCAGAGCTTGAAGTTGATCTTGAACCAACGCAGGAGTTTTCTATCTATAGTCCCACAAGTAACCCACAAGACTAAATGAATCATTATACAATTTCATCCTATAAACTAGAACTATAAGAAGAAAACAGTTTTAGCTCAATTGCCACAATAGCAGCCATAAGCATAATAAAATTGCAAGGCTACGTATTTACTTATCTATTTATTTGGTTTAGTATTATAGGATGCAAAGCATTTTAAAAGCCTTCAAATCAAAAGGTTATTTGAGAATTAAATATAAAAAATAAGAGAAATAATTTCTCTTGCATGTATTTAATATATACTGAAAGGCTTTTGCAGAATTTAACATTTCACAAAAGTCGTAACCAATCAGCAGAACGCAAGTTATGAATTATCATTTTCTGTATTCTTAAATTAGTTGGTTATCCAGAGATTCACCAATGCTCCCATAATCTGATAATACGTTTAGAAAAAATTTACAGCAACTTGACAAAAATTCATGTTGTTTTAAAACATCTGAACAGTTACTTATGACCTCTGGGAGTCAAGACGTTCTACAGACCCTGCAGACAAGTCAAAAATCCCAGCTAACTGACTCATTCTATTTAAATACATCAGAGTTAGGGTGTTACACATTGGGGTTCTTTGTTCTCTTCCATTCAAAAGAAAAAGAGCCCTGAAGAGAGCATTCATGCATTATAACACTCACAGAATCACACAGTGTCATTCTACAATGGGCAAATAGATCATGCTCATTCTAGGAGTATGAGCAAGAAAAGTTTCCAGAACTCTCAGATGTACACTATTACACTTTGAATAGACAGCAACTGCTCCTTTTACTATATACTTTTTACTGCATAATCTGTACTAAAATTAATTATATTCTGAACAATAGAATTATCCTGGTCCAGCACACCAGAAAAGCTTAGAGTGGCTTTTTCACCCTAAGAGACATTTTCTTGCTTTCAGAAGTCATCCAGTAAGAGCAACCACACCACATTTTATTTCAGACCAAGTCCTTGACAGAAAACCTCAGTGAAATTTCTTTCTTTTCCTTCCACCCTGAATTGAGTATTAACTGAAAACACCAATTTAAAAACTTAAAGAAAACAAAGTGTCCATTTTCCAGCACATCCAGTATTTGCCTGTTGCTTAAAGACCCTATCACTATGCCCTTGCGTGACAAAAAAAAATAATGCACCCTCTCCAACCCGCAAAATGACGTTTTGAAAGTTTATTGCCCTATTTAACTACACCTGACTTAAATGATTTAAATGTATTAGCATATATTTAAAATTTCATAGAAAGCCCATGATTATGATTACCACTCATACACTGAGTAACACAGCATGTTCCTTTTTCTCCAGCCTACTTCAATTTTGGAAGTGTACTCAGAGTCATTTCAGTAAGAGTCACCCAGACAACACTCAGACTCCGCAATCCACATTAGGATAAAGTGATAAGGGTATAATTACTCCACAACAGTAATGCCAGGTCTTAGAATTTGAAAAAGAGAATCAGAATTTGTTACTCAGAAAATTAGCATCTTAATTCTTCCAGCCAACACCTACCTTATCATTAGAGAAGTACTGAGCACCTGGCAGACAAAACCTGACTAGCAAGAGACACTCGCTTCAAAAGTCTATGTTTTAAAAGTTTGGCAAGGTACAAGTTTTTGCAATGGGATAGTCTCTTGTTGAAATGCACTAGTAAGCACAACCTGTTTATGAAGTTACTGAAGCAGTCCAGAAAGATTCTCACAGGAAAATGCTTTGATGTCCACAAATCAATACAGACTGAAAATTATCACGTTAAAGGCTTTCTGGCTTACAAATAATATCAAAGATGCTCAACAACCAGTACAGTCACAAGTCACAGTTATTCTGTACTGTTAAACCTATCTGTCCTCCACTTGTGTTGATTTTCATCAGAATGACTACACTCGAGTAAAACCAACTTGGAAGAAGCAGATGTAAAAGTGGATAGCGACCATCACAGGGGAATATGAACTCTAAGAACATACTACACACAATCAATAGCACAAATGCTCTTCTAAAGGTGATCTCAACTCTGAAAACTAACTCAGGAGAATAATGGCGTATGAAGATGCATCCAAACTTGCACACAGCATCCTGTACACTGGAAAGATTAAGATCTTTTGAGGATGTGCTGTGTACAGAACAAACTGAGTATCACCACAGTTCCATTCAAAGGCTGCCCAAAATGGTCAGATCAACTACACTCGATTGCTGTGCCTTACAGGAATTAAGCTTTTGTAGAATTCAGTACTGTCAAATAATGTTTTTAGAGAATTTTACCTCTCAAGTGACTTGGATTTAATTTCTCAGTAGTCTGTATATCTAGAAAAAAACTGCAGTACACAATTTTTTTTCTGATGTTTTAACTAAAAATACACTCTATTAATGTTCTATTCAAAGTTGTGCAATAACTTCTTGTGTTTCTCATCCACTGGAGAAGCAGAACCAACAGTAATGCTGTGACAACTTCTTCAAAACAGATCTTTAAAAGAAGTTGCAAAAATATCCTCACAGTTTCAATTTACTCAGTCTGATGACAGAAGAGCTGTCAGTATCTCTAACCCCTAGTCAGTACAAGGGATTATTGCAAAGGCTCAGTACTGAAAACTGCTTTCTAGAAAGTGAAAAGAGTAAGAAGATCCTGTCATTATACACTAAGGCAGACTCCTTCATATTGACTAGGCAAATAATCTATGGTCTACAACTAACTTGTTTCCAAATGAGAGATTAACCATGGCTACTGCATAAATCCACAAAAGCAGTTTTGTTGCAGCAGAATCCTCTTCCACTCTGGCTAATAACATTTACAAAAGGATTTTGAGGTGTGGCTCTGAATTTAATATGGGATAGGGATAATTATTTCCTACAAAGACAAGGAAATTAAGTAAACGAATTAAGTCTAATGATTTGTCACCTTTTGGCAAATACACAGAACTAACTGCAAAGCCTGTAGTTATGAAATGATGCTCAGTGAGAACTGAACATTGCAGTTTTAGTATATGATCAGGTTCACATTGGTTTAATCCGTATTTGTCACATATCGTTCTTATTCTTCACATTAAACTGTTTAATACATATGAACACACACTGATGCGATTTTATTCCTGTCATAAAAAGTCTTAGCATACCCATTACACACATTACATTTTCTCCATTAATTTTTCTCAATATACTTTTCTAGTTAAGTCTCCACTAACTATGCAGTGCCAACACTGGAAAGTACTTTCAGAACAATCTTGAGTACTAAGTACTCGGACCTCATGATTACTATCACATACAAATTCATAATGCTGTATTGATCTGCACCATGAGTACTACAGAATCTCAAACCCCCCGCAACCAAAGAAAAAAGCTTGTATCAGCCAAGCTATGTCAACTATACAAAGGTCAAGAAACAAAGAAGAAATACATAGCATAATGCTGATAATACTTTCATTACTTCATTTGAAAGTAGGGAGCCAAGAGGTAAGAACTAGACAATACTGAGCTACTGTACAACTCTAGACACCACTGAACAGAGATACAAGAAGTTGAAACAGCTTAGCTCATTTCAAGAGACTGTGCATATTTTTTTTTTTTTTTACAGTTGTACATGAAATACGACAGAATACAGAGGGAAAGATTTCAGATGAAAATTACTTATGGGTGTTTCTTCTCCTGAGTCAGAAAAAAAGAACAATAAATAAAGATCGTAACAGCTATGTTATTTTATATTTAATCACTCCAGTTTCAAAACAGCAAGCAGTAGAATCTTTCTATAGAACAGAGTTGGTCTTTTCCTTCAAAGCTATCCCAGGCATACAGTGATGCTGCTGAAGTAAACTAAACAGTAACACTTTCCCCGCTTTAGTGAACTCCACTCTTAAAAGACAGTATCACGAGAGCCTTTGTCCAAGATGCAGCTCCTCTAATATCCTGCTGGATTCCAGAAACAATGTTATGTGAATTATTTCACAATTTAGCTGATTACACAGCTGAATGTAATTTAAATTACAACTTTCACATCTTAATAGTAAAAAGTAAGGCTTACCCATTCTTTCTATTATCCACTACATAAAATCCTGTATTGCTTTACTATTACTACCACTGAATACACCAAGCTGTTTAAATGTGAGATGATCCTTCAATCTGCATGAATTCAGAGTGAAAATCCAAGCAGTCCTCTACAGATAACCTCTCTCACACTGTAACACTAACCAGCAAGTTAAGACAACACAGGAAAAACACATGCAGGGTCTTCAATATTCTACAGCATGTACTTAACAAGATATTCAAACTCCTAAGCCTTTGGGTACATTTACCATTACATCTAATTGACAGAAAACCTCCACCAAAACAAACGCTTATGTCTCCAAATAACATAATTATACAGATGGGTGCATAAGGGGATATACAAGCTTATTGGTTCATTTTAATATAAGAAAGCGATGTGCAAGCCTTACTACTAT